ACATGAGGATTAAATTAGAGAGTGAATCTTATAGATTGAATATGAGGGTTACAGAGTCTAGCCAAGAGGTCTAGAGACTCTAAGGATTGTATATGACTCTATCGGAGTAGTCTATGAGGATGAGGTATGAGTCAGAGTTAAGACACTAATTTGAGCACCATAGGAGACCTTCACTATCAACATATATTGAGAGTATAGACAATTCGATGAGGACTTCACTCTCTCTTATTTGTCAGCATTATGGTAGGAGGCACCCAGATATATGTCATCATGTATAGAGGACTTGTTATTGTTGTGACTCTAGAGGGCACTTCATCAAAGATTTCCCACACTCTATGAGGGCTATTATAACTTCTCGGAGATCAAATTCATCAGTAAAACCAAGTCAAGGCATTGACATGTCTACTACTAGACCAGATGCTAAGGTGGCATCCATGTAGTATATAGTGAGGGCTCGTGAGGATGTTGATACTGCAGATGACGTCCCAGATATGTTATTAGTCATTATTAGTTTTCATTATTGCATTAGTGGGCCTATGTTCCATTTATTCATACATATGTATGAGTATGTACGTCTAGCCTACGAGACAGGTTGGTTAGGTAAATAAGTTTACCTTGTTAAATTTTTGGGGATGACGATCGAACTTGTTGAAGCATCAGTATGTCTATATATCTAGAGAGAAGATGTGACGGTAAGTTCATAATTATGAGACAATTACATTGTTGTTCAAGCTTTTGAAATACACTGAAGTTGATTTGTGAGGTAAGGTAAACTCAAAAGGTCGAAAAGAGAGAATTCAGAATAAATCTAGAGTGATGATCAATGATAAATGTCAATGTAAGAGGATATGGAAGTGGCAGATAGAAACTAGGTTCTATGCGAGATTCGAGGATGAGAGTCGAAAAGGGGCAAAGCAACGTTCTATTTTATTATAGAAATTTCGAGGATGAAATTTTCTTTAAGAAGGGAAGAGTTGTAAACCAAATTTTTGAGTTAATGTTCAAGCGTTGACCCAAAGATTAATTGAATAAATTAATTGTAGGGTGAAGGTTCATTGAAATAAATTTGGACTCAATCGGTTGAGAAATAGGGCTTATAAGAGATAAAAAAAGGAATTTTAAGCTTGGAGTGAAATGAGAAGGACATGGAGTATAATTTCCTTATTGAGAAAAATCATGGCTGATTTGGGTGAGATAAGAGCTGATATGCGTGGCCTTTTTGGGGAAGGGTTGACCATCTTTTTCTTTTTATGTTTCCACCCCAAACTTTCTTCTTTTTCATAACTTTATATCTTCTTCATCTTCTCTTTTTGTTCCTCTCCAAGCTAGAGCAAAGTGCAAGTTTTCACATTTTCTTCTCCTCTACATTTTATCAAATTTTCAAGAGTTGTGTGAAGCTCCCAAGAGCAAAGGCAAGGAGTTCGAGTACTGACCCTTGTACTCGAAATGAAAAAAATCGATTTTTCGAGTCGAGTCGAGTTTTGCTCACCCTTAACCCTTGGTTGAGTGAGGATGATTTTTTAAGTGCTAGGAGCTAAAGTACTTAGGTGAGGATCGAGGATCATCATCGTCAGATTTAAGTTCCAGACGTTGTTGAATCAGAGTATATCTCAAGTTATTTTAGTGGGTGTTTATATCATAAACCTTACTTTTATTCAACCGTAACTCTATTTTGTAAACTTATTTCGAATATTCAATATGTATTATTTGGAGCACCATATTTTGTAAACTCAAACTATGTTATTTATTTTGGATTATGATTATATCACTGTTCTTTATGAAATTTTGAGGAAAAATGTATTTAAATAAGTGGTTAGTCACTTGGATAATTTCATACGAGATTTAAATCATTTAGACTTTGGATGGAGTAGATTATGGTGTTACATCATCAGCCACATCACCAACCACTATGGACTGTCACATCAACACAGTAAAAGACTGCGTCTATATTGTTACAGTTATCGACATAAATCGTTAGTCAAAGGGCCACATTGGTTTTTTTCTAAGTTCGAAGGCAAGATTAAGTACAAGATAATTCGAGTGTCACATTAATTTCTTTTAAAAGTACAAGTGTCTCGTGTACCTTTTTAAAAAAATTAAAAGAATATTATTTTATTATTTAGTTGATTTGCATGTATTCAATAGAGGGTGTGTACAAATATCAAATTCACACAAATCGATCTATTTATCCAATGATCAAATTTGAATATATGAATAATTCAGATCGAATACCTGATTAAAAAAATTAAATAAACAGATCAAATAAGGATCATGAAAATCTTGATTTTAGATTATCCGAATATCCAAAAAATAAGTAGCCTTAATACAAAATAAGTGTCCAAACTATATCCTTTATTAATTTTAGGTGTCTAAATTTTTTTTTTCGCTCAAAGTAGGTGTTTAACGTTTTCGACATTACCTTTTTAGGTGCCCGACACGCCCATTAAAAAAATATGTTATATGACACATGTCATGCTTATAAAATTTTATTTTTAAAATAAAAAACTTAAAATTACAATTTATATAAAAGACTCAAAATTTTCTTAAAACTTAAAAACCCTAACTCCAAACTCCTTCACCCATGCCGATTGTCGTTGATGTTCCCTTGATCATCACCCGTTGTCATTGGCCACTTCATCAATCAGATTGCTACACACAGTGAGAGGAATGATCGCTTGAATCGTTGGAAATGTCACCCTTTACTGGAATCATCCAGTTGGAGTCATCATCCTGCGATCATCCATTTTCTATTACAGTCGTCACTTGAAGAATGGGGTTTGGACGGTTGCTCGCCATAGGGGTTTCGATCGGTTGGCGGAATTAATGGGGAATAACTATAGAAAATGGATTGAAATTAAGAGTTTTCTGGATTTAGATTTTTTTTAATTTTTTTAAAAAAGTTTATTTTTAATACTAAAAGTAATTGAAAAAAATAAAGATAATTATATTTTTATAAGCATGATACATGTCAGATAACAGATTTTTTAACATTCGTTACAATATAGACAGTTAAAAAATCAACGTCGAAAATGTTATACACATACTTTGAGCAAAAAAATTTAGACACCTAAAATTAATTTTAAATATAATTTAGATTCTTATTTTTATATTAAACATTTTTTCAAAGGTTTATATAAAATAATTAATCTGCATGAAGATAAAAGCTTTAAAAAATCAGTAAAATGCTAATGTAAAGATTCATTGATAGAATCTTTGATATATTTGAGGAGTGGAATGGCACTTGGCTTTATTTTGTTTTTGACAAGGTCACTCAACTCTGTAACTCTGTTATCAATAGCCATCAGATCAACGAAACTTTTTGTACCCAAAATAAGAAAGGTTCTATCAATAAAATTAGTTAATTTATTATTTATAATATACTTAATATAAAAATAAATGTTTAAATTATATTATATGATAATTTTAAGTATTTAAATAATTTTTCGTTAAAAATAAGTGTCAAATATTTTTTTCTTTACACTTTTAGGTATCTAACGTTTTTTCTGTTATATTTTTAAGTGCTTACATAGTAACGGCCGTTAAAAAAACCCGTTAAGTGACCGATTTCATGTCTATAGTTTGGCTTAATAACAAAAATAAGTACCTAAACTAAAGTTTAACTTTAGACGCCTAAAAGTTTTTCTCTAAGAATAAGGTGACGTTTAGTTCGTTGGAATCCCTTGGAATTAGGGGGAATTAGAATCCAATTCTACCACATTCTCATGTTTGGTTCAAGTTTTTAAATGGTGAATTGGAATCCGATTCCATCAAGGGAGAGAAAGTAAATTACATTCATAACATGATAGAATTGAAATCCTTTGAAGGAGGGAATGCGAAATTTGATCATACTACCCTCATCAATCTTTCGGTATTCGGGTCAATTTTTTTTTTTAAATTTCGGGATCATGTCTGTTTTTTTTAAATTTCAGGTTCGGGACGGGTCGGGTTGGGTTTTTTTAAGTGTGATTCGGGTTCGGGTTTAGGGTGAAAAATACCCGACCCGAAAAAATATATATAATTTTACCTTATTTATTTAAGAATAATTACAATAATACCCCTCTATATATAATTTTTTTCAATTAAGTCACTGTTTTTATTAAATAAAAATAATTTTTTTTATTATTTCGGGTCGGGTTTTTAATTCATATATTCAGGTTGGGTCTCGGGTGGAGGTTCCCTTGTTCTCGGGTCGGGTGGACCAAAAACCCGACTCAACCCGACCCATGGCCATCTCTAATTAGAATGATTTTAACTTATGATGTTTATTAGTATGATTTTCATAATTTATTGAAATGAATAATCAATCAATAAAATGAAAATTTAATAATTTTAAAATTTTTATAATATATTGTTACATGTAAGTTATAAAATAAACTAAAATTAAGCAAAAAAAAAAAAAAAAAAAGTAGGACAATTCTGTCATTTTACATTACTGAAATCAAATTCATCTGACATGTCTGGAAACTAAACATAATATGGAATTGGATTCCAATTCAATATCCGCCAACCAAACAAGTTTCAGATTCAGATTCTAATTCCCGCAGATTCCAATTCCTTCCCAGATTTCAATTACTTCAGAAACATTCCAACGAACCAAACGCCACATAAGTGTTTGTCTTGAGATCATTAAATTAGTTCAATATTTATTAGTGACATTTGATTGATGCTTTATCTTGTTGGTTTCGAATGAATTTAAAATTTTATTATTTTAAGTATCTATTTAATGTTATGATTCATTTATTATGAAATAGTGACAGTAATTTTTTTTACTGAATCATATATTGAGTATTTATTTTTCTTGCTTATTAAACTTATAATAATTGAATATTTATTGTATATATACATAATTACGTAACATGTTAAACCCGACTCATAATGAAATGTCACATATACAGTAATAGATGGTTTAATTATTATTTTTATACGATATTCTAATGAAATGATATTAACTAATAAATAATAGAAAGAGAAACATTCTCAGATATTATTTATCCAGTGTCTGTTAATGCCACTCTGTCCAAGGCCGCTGTGTTCAACTCTCTCCTTATTTTTCCTCTCGAAGGAATAAAAGAGGGGAGGGGAAACGTACGTGAAATTTCTAAATCTCGCATTGATGTAAACTGATTTCCCTTTTGATTTCTTTAATTTTTTTGTAAGCTGTTGGAATAATGCTTTCTTGATGTATTTTAAGTGTTTGAAGTTTCATGATCTGAGAATCATCAGTCTTGTCGATGCGCTGGTTTGCAATTGTGTGTTGCACTTTTATTTTTTTGGGTTTTGATTGAATTTTCCCAGAAAAAAAAATGTCAAAAGGGAATCAAATGTTGGGGTTTCGGAAACTTACTAAAGGAAATCAAGATTGAAGTTTTCGTTTTCTTTTTAAATTTGGAGAAAACTACAATTCAAAAACAGTTTTTTTTCTTTTCCTTTTTTTTTTTACATTATACCTTTGCAATTCATTTATAGAGTCACCTAATTTGATGAATAATGGGAATCTTGTTGTGCTACTTTTTAGCAATTCATTGCCTTTGTTGAGGATATATGGAAGACACGAAACACAGAAAGAAAGAGAAGCCGACCTCTTCCAGACAAATTTTCTGCCTTTCAGGACCATTGCACCTCACTTCAGTTGACTGGTAAACACCTTTTCTTTCATTAGTTTCAGTAACAATCTCCATTGTATGTTTTCATTAAAAAAAAAAATCCCAAGTGAACAACATTGCAAGATATGCCAGGACATTAAGGGAATTCATAAATCTGGAAGTGTAGGAATATCAAATACTTCAAGTTTGTTAAGGAGACTAATATTTAGGGGGGAAGGGTCCCAAATAGCATTGCATCTTAATTCATAAGAGTTCTATGAATGAGACTTTTCGGATTCTTAACCGGCTGAGGATGCTAAGAATGAAGTGGAAATACCATAAATCTAGTACATGATGTATGATTTTGGTTAATCCAGAGCTATAACTTCTCTGTCTCTGTGACCCTGAAATATTGTTGAGAAAGTTATAATGAAATAGTATGAACAATAGATCATTCTAATTTCTCCAAGCAAGATCAAAATCCAGAGGATTTGTTTGTGCTGAGAACTCTGAGGGCCAAATCTGTGAGGTGAGCAGCCAAAGCTACAACCTAAGAGAACATGCAGTTATAATATCAGCCAGATAACATTGTAGTTTCCTTTATTAGTTTTAATTGTATCATTTGAAAATTAATTGTTATGTTTAAGGCATCTTCTTTTTCTCTTCTCTGGTTAGAACATTTTAGCTTCTTTTTTATAGTAAATCTAAGGGCTTATTTGTGGTACTTTGGTAGGAATAATTTTCATGACCGAAGATCTGTTGCTGCGAGCTTGGTTCAGGGAGTGTACATTCTAGAACGAGATCGCCAACAGAACCACCAAGACCCTCTAGCTCATGCACCACCTTGGTGGGATTTCTTCAATTTCCACTTGGTCCGTATTCTTGTAGATGATGTTGATAACTCCATTTTTGGTGCCATTTATGAATACAAGTTTTCTCACTTCAACCACAACTATTCAGCCCAAAATTCTCCACATTATGTTATTGCCTTTCAGGGTACAATAACTAAGTCAAACACAAGGTCTCGTGATCTCAAGTTGGATTTCCTGTGCGTCCGTAATAGACTTCATGAAAGCTCTCGTTTTCAGCTAGCAATGCAGACTGTAGAGAGTATCTTTGTGGTTGCTGGAAATTCAAGAATTTGGTTAACCGGGCATTCGCTAGGATCAGCTATTTCATTGCTTATAGGTAAAAATATGACTAAGATGGGTTATAATGTTGAAGCTTACCTCTCCAATTCCCCATTCTTGTCTGCCCCTGTAGAAGGAATCAAGAATGAAAAGCTGAAGCATGGTATTCACTTTACAAGCAGTGTAGTCAAAGCTGGACTTGCTGTTGCTGTAAAAGGTCGCAATCATAGGCCTGATAAAGATGATCCATTTAGTTCGCTCTCTTCTTGGAAACCATACCTGTTTGTGAATCCTGCAGATTTTGTATGCTCCGGGTATATTGGCTATTTTGAACATAGGAAAACGATGGAGAAGATTGGGGCCGGAAAGATTGAGAAGATTGCAACACAGAATTCTATGGGGAATTTACTCTCAAGCTCGGAGCAAAGGGATTTCGAATCACTGCATCTGATTCCTTCGGCCTATCTTACCATTAATTTGCGTCACTCTCCGAATTTCAAACATGCTCACGGAATTCACCAGTGGTGGGATCAATTTTTTATTAGTCTGTCGGAACTACATGAGTACGATCCTTATGTAGCGGATGAGAAGTTACTTCTAAGAACGCTACATGACAAAAAGTTACATCCCTGACATTGGTGTTGGAACTCTGGGTTATTGTAATTGGCTTCTTGTTCCCCTTTACCATGAAGACATAAACTGGTCGTCTTTCATACTATATATGAATCCGTTAGAGCTCGAAGGAGTCCAGTTTGTGAAACATTATATCTACCTTGTGCATTTGCAGAGGAACTTTGATAGCCTTGAGAGTCATGCTTGGTCATGTTGGCCTCATTGGTGTCTCAGTTAGCCTTTGGCATTCTAGTTTTCTATTGAAAGTATTATCTGTCGTCGATTCCGAAATTAAAAAACATGGAATGTATTGTACCTTTCAATGAAATCGAATGCAGATTCTTTAATTAAATAATTGCTCTTTTTTATTGGACAAGGTTTTGATCCCATTTTCCATTTTTATCTTGTTATCTTTTTGTTGTTGCCGTGAATATTATAATAAATATTCTCATGTATTCGTTGATTACAGGCCATTATGATTGATGCTCATGTTACACAATTTCTTCTGCAAAAAGCTTGGAAGCTCTTAACTGTTGGCCTAAAGGTATACTTCTTTACTCATTAATCTTTTTGTCATATAAAATTTCTCTTTATTTGAAATATAAAAAAGGTGGATACCAATTGCAGCTAGCATCTGTGAAATACAAACTAATGACTCCACTAAGCTATTACTTGCTGCTGCATATTGTAAATGTTAGTCATGCAAATATTAAAGAGTTATTTTTAGGGAGTTGGATCACCTATATTTAGGCAGTGGTCGGAGCGAGTAGTTGTCAATTGACAATTTTACTGTTCTACCATCTCTCTAATTAAATATACAATTGATAGTTATAATGTTTCTTTCTCGGAAAATTATCTAGTTCCACTTTCTCACTTCGGATGTACGAGGTATTAACCTTGAGGGGCAACATCTACTTTTAAAATTGCCATAAAGGGTCAGAATACGAAGCCTGGGAAAGATCCATTATTTTCATGGATTCCTCTCCTGTTTGTTAATCCAAATGATCTTGTTTGCTCAGAGTATAAAGGTTATTTTGAACATAGGAAGAAGATGGAAGAGATGGGAGCTGGGAGAATCGAAAGGCTATCAACAGTGGAGGATCTACATATACTCGAGGGTGGGCACGTGTCCACCATGAAATCTAAATTTTCTTCAGTTAGTTATTTATTTCACTGTTGGTATCTACCCTGAAATATTATTTGTGTTGAACATCGACATGACTATTGAACCCTTGCATTTACTTCCTTCGGTTTTTCTGTCGATCAATCTAAGTCCATTTTTAGATATCCGGACTGCTTATGGGATTCTAATTTGAATGGTAAGGTTGAACTACACCAGTTCAACTAAATCTTTGCTTCACTGAAAAATTATTATTTTTGATCATTTTTCTTGTTGACTGATTTCAAAGGAAAAATTCCTGATGTCAGAAAATTCTAAGAATGAATGTCATGATATTCATTAATAATTTTATAGGATAAGGATCATTGAACTAGGATGAGCCTACATACACACCGACGCCGACATGCATCGATATAAAATAAGGTAAAATTTATAAATGATTATTAAACTATGATAAAATGATCTTTTTAGTCGTTTAAATTTTTAAAAATTATAATATGAGCGCTAAACTTACTAAACAAAAGTTAAATAATTGAACTACATTGCTTAACAAAAAGAATTGACTTCGCTTTTTAATAATTGTAATTGTTAGATTTTGAAAATTATAAATTATAAATTTTACAAATTTAATCAAAACTAAATAAAAATTTATTTATAAAAATGCCACTTCAGCCCTTTAATAATAGCTAATGATGTAATATCTATTTTATTTAAAAAGTTAAATGTTCATTATATAACTCCTGAAAGTTTAATATCCAAAAAGATCATTTTAACATAATTTAGTGACCATTTAAAATTTTTACCCTACAAAATTAATAGTGTATATGAATGTGTGACATACATTCCTAGAATTTTCCTATTAAAACATATTAAAATAGTCACTAAACTAAACTATGTTAAAATAACCTTTTTAAACATTAAACTTTCTTTTATAAGTAAATCTTCCGTTCATCCAAAAAGTAACCTTCTTACAAAATAATATCTTCAAAAATAGCGACTCGGTCAAAATTCGATAAACACTCAACTCAAAAGGACTCGACTCGAGTTCTTAATGAATCGAAACAAACTACTTGATACACAACTCGAAAAGCTCGCGAGCAACTCGAAAAAGGTAATATATTAAAATATTATTTTTTTAAATAAATTAAATTATTAATATTATTATAACATTTATGGGTTGATTTTTTAAAAAATATAGTATAAAAATTTCATGTACATAAGGTTTAGGTTTGAGTTTGAGCTTCAATCGAGTTAAGTTTAAGAATATTTTTTTTATTTCAAGCTTTTATGAGCTTCAATTCACAACTTCGAGTTCGAATCGAGCTTGAAAAATTTTGACTCGCAAATTTTTGAACTGAATCGAACTCCATTTTAGAGTTCTCGAGTCTAGTCGAGTCGAGCTCAATAATATTGAAGCTAAACTCGACTCGTTACAGCCCTACCTATAGGGTCCCCATTTCGCAACAGCAAATTTCTCAACTTCAAAAGTTTTCCCCACGCCCAGCTTTGCCCCAGACGAGGCTTAACATGCCACGCAGATTCTCCTTTCAAAAGTTATAGGCTAGGCATTAAATTTTAAATTCAGTTACGAAGTAGATACCTCATTTTTAACTACCATTAAAAGGATAACATGAATGTTAAATTATTTTTTAAAAAATCTCATTCAATTCCTCAATTATAGCTAAGTTTTTTTTTTTTAATATTTCTAAGTAATAATTTTAAAAAACTCACTTTTTAATATATATATATATGTATAGAAGTTCACAATTCATTTTTAAAATTATAAAAATAATTTTAAAAAAATGATAGCTTTATGAATTTTTAATTCATCATATTATTTTATAATTAATTTTTTATTTAATTGTAATCATATTTATAAAATTTATAATTTTTGAGATCCAACAATTTCAATTATCAAAAAATAAAATTATTTTTATTAAGCAATGCGATTCAATTATTTAATTTTTCAAAATTCAAAGTTTAATGCTCATTTATAACTTTTTAAACTTAAATGATTGAAAAAATTATTTTATCATAGTTTAATGACTATTTGTAAATTTTATTTTATTTTACCACTATACATCAATGTGTGACGTCCGCTGTAAATCTATCCTTTAAAATGATCCTTTTAGACATTAAATTCTTAAAAGTTACATAATAATTATTAAGCTTTAGATTTTGTTCAAAATGAGCACCACACCATTAACTGACATGAAAAATTAACGACGGCGGGTTCACTCTTTTAGAATTCTTTGCGCCAGCTGGTTCTGGATCTCCCCTCCTGGCTGAATTGTTGGCTGTCAAGCTTGCAGCAGAATTATTCCTTGAATCGGAATGGTTAAACAAATTCCAGTTGGTAATCGGAAGTGACAGCAAGACTGCCGTTGAATGGATTCGGGATCCTTCTAAATCCAATGTTTTATCAAGTATAATCTGGAAGAATCACAAAATACTATTGCTTGATCGATGGATTTTACGCTTTATTCCGAGAGTCCAAAACATTGAGGCCGATAAGCTAGCAAACTTGGTAACCAGTGGCGGATGTACATGGTGTACACCCTAAAATCTAATTTTTTTATATTATTTATTAGTTTTATTAATGGCGTCCATCATGAAATTTTATTTATGTCAATTTTATACGGAAAATTTTCATTAATAGTATATATATGTTTATATTAAAAAACAATTCTAAATTTGTCACTGCTAGTAACGTGAAAATATAAATGCTCGTTACCTTTAGCTTAAGTTTATTTGATTGAGTTTTCCAGCTTTGAACGCAGGTTTGCGGGTCATCGGCAAACTACACAAATAGAGTTATTTTCATTTTAGATTTTATAATTTATTTCGAATTTAGTATTTGATAAATTCTTATTGGGTAAACTACACAAATGGCCCATTTTGTTTTCCCATTTTGACCATCAGTATTGGAAAAGTTTGATTTTGGCCACTTACGTTTTCAGGTTATAATATTTTGATCACTCAGATATTAACCTATTGACGTGGCATGTTAAGAAAAATTGTTAATTTCTAATTCGACCCATGAACTTTTGAAAGTTCATTTTCACCCATTCTCAAACAAATTCCCAAATTATCTCTCCTCTTCTCTAACCCTCCCTTTTTCGTTGTTGTCACCACCACCGCCACGAGTCACTGCACGTCTCTTGCCAAAATCACAACCCTCTTATCACCGGCTGCACATCTCAAGATTAAAACAAAATTGGTAGAGTGAAAAGCCAAGATGGAACTGCAACACTGAACAAGTTATCATGTAATTCCAAACCTTCTAGACTCTGAAGGCCGCTTACATGAGTTGGTAGGGAACCTTGTATCCTATTCCATGATAAATCTAAAGAAGCAAGGTGTGTGAGGTTGGTTGAACAAAGACGAAGGAAGTTCACTAAAATTACAGTAATGGAAATCAACAATAGTAAGTTTGTTGAGGTTTCCAAAAACATCTTGAATTTGGAATCATGCCACATCAAAAGTTTAGAGATCGAATTAAAAATTAACTATTTTTGTTAACATGCCACGTCAATAATCTTATGTAACCTCCGATTGACCAAAATGTTATAATCCGAAAACGTAAATGACTAAAACTAAACTTTTTCAAGATTAGTGTCCAAAACAGAACATTCTGAAAACAAAAAGGACCATCCTTGTAGTTTTTCCATTATTATTTAAACATAAAAATATGTAATATTCTACATTTATTTTAGACAATGTAATACTTTATTTTTTATATTGAGACTATTATTCTATTTGATGGTTAACAATAAATATTTTTAGTGCAACGGAAAATGAAAACAAAAGCTCAAATGAAATATGAAAACAAAATATTTTTAGTACAACGGAAGATCCGACCCAGATTTTGTAAGTTGATAAAATTAAAAATCCAAATCACTAGAAAGAGAAATGATTCTCAATCTAATATTTATTATTGAAGAGATGATGTATAAACATGGAAATTTACCTTACAAGCTCCTCTCAATGAATTCCCATATCCTCTCTTCCATGTAGATCCGATCCCTATGACGACGCGGCATATGGCGTTCATCCGGAAAAATCAGTAACTCGTATGGTTTGCCAGCAGCCACAAGTGCATTAACAAGCCTCGCCGTGTTCCTAAAATGTACATTTTCATCGATCATGCCATGGACCAACAGAAGTTTTCCTTTCATCTTGTTAACATGGTGCATCACAGAGCCGTACTCGTAACTTTCAGCATCCTCGGAAGGGAACCCCATGTACTTCTCAGTGTAAAATGTGTCGTAGCCATCCCATGATGTTACAGGAGCACCGGAGATGGCACATTGGAAAACATCAGGGAACCTGGCCAACACCATGGCCGACAGATAACCACCATAGCTCCAACCGTACAACCCGATATGGCCAGGCTTTGCCAGCCCCTGTTTAATTAGCCATTCAACACCAGTGAGCTGATCCTTGGCATCAACACCGCCAATGTTGCCTTTGAGAAAGCCTTCAAACTTCAGTCCACGTCTTGCGGTTCCTCTATTATCTAACTGCAAAGAGCACATGTCAGGTGAGGAACTAAAGGTATGGATTCAAAAGATGTCTGAGAAAACTGCTAACAGATTAGAAATCATACACACTAGCTAAATGCTGAATGTCCCCAAAAAAAAAAAAACTGATGGCTTAATGAGCTTTAGGAATCACTAGTACCCTCCCCCACCTTACATTTTGTCGAAGGATCAGAACATGATTCTCAGTCATATAACCTAAACTAGAATGATTGCACACCATGAACTAAACATTTCTAAAGGGAAACAAATGTGCAGGAAATACAAACCTTCCAAACTAAAATGCCCTTGCTCCGCAAGTACTGAGCTCGCATGTCAACTGTATTTATCCAAGAATTGTAAACAAGCTGAACACCAGGACCACCATACACACTGACCAAGGTTTTGTATGGTGGGGGTCCAAATCTTGTTGCGTCAGGCTTGTATAAAGCCCCATATAGTCTGGTACCATCATTTGCCTCTATGTGGACTATCTCTGGAGACTCAAGCTGAAGTTTTTCAATCCCGGGAATTATGGACGGGGGCTCATAAATAGACATTATTACACTTCCGCCAATCAAGTTGCATAGAGAAACTCTAGGGGGAGAATCAAGTGAATCATAAATATCAACAAATTTCTGCATGTGATGATCAAGCACAACTACATGTTTTCCCTTGCCATGAGTCAATCTGACAGGAGCTTGCATGGTTGAATTTTCATCTGGGCATAATTTGGCATAGTAAAGGTGCGATTCTAAAGGTCCATCGAGATTTCCAGTGAAATATACAAGCCCTGCAGTCTCATTTATACCGGCAATTTGCTCAACCATCCAATCACCCTCTGTAATGGGTCCTAAGAAAATCCCATTAGCATCATGCAGATAAAGATGTCTGAATCCTGTGTTTTCACTTGCCCAGATGAAACCTCCTTTGTCCAGAGGTGTAAAACAATCATGTAGATTAATCCAAGGTTTTAGCTCTTCAACCATCACAACATTTTTTTGGCCTGTCTTGATATCAAACTTAAGGATCTTTAGTTTGGAGTGAGACCTATTTAAGATTTGCACTATAAGAAAATTTGCATGCATCCAATTGACTCTAGCCAAATATTCATCATCATAGTTTGGTCCCCCACAGATAAGATCCATCCAGGTGACAGGACTGCCAGAGGTGGACACCACCCCAAGCCGAACCTTGACATTTGAAGCCCCTGCAAAAGGATATGCGTGGTCTTCTTGTGCCTCTAGACCAACTGAGCTTTTACCTTGGTGCATAATTCTAAAAAGTGGTATCTCAGAATAATCAACCTCTGTAAATGCAATGAACTTGCCATCAAGTGACCACCAATACCCAGTTTTTCTATCCATCTCCTCCTGCAATCAGTGAAATTCCACCAATGAGGGAGAGAAATCTATATGAACAATAGAGAGATTAATAAGGGGGAAAAAAGAATTTTGGCATCATTGTTACTTGATGGCACTGGTTCTATGCCTCTGAAAGAACTGTAACTTATAGTTGTTCCCAAAAGCAGTAACAAATAAGTTTCAAACTCATACAAATCCATGACCAATTTATAAAAATATATAACAAACGGAGGGAGATTGAAGAAGTTCTCACCTGAGCTATATACTCTGCAAGTCCATGAGTCTGCAATTCATTAAAAATAACGTCATATCAAAGACAAGGGTGCAAAAACCTAATCAAATGTCAAAATATTAAAGTCTTACTTCATTTGCCGAACCACACAGCATATCGAAACCAGGTAAAATCAAATAGTTAGACCCTATTACATTTGACATTATTCATTCACTAATATTTATGAAAAAACAGGAAATGTTGCCCTATTATGATTTATAAGCTGTATAATGTAGCAAATAAACTGGCAGAGCTTGTTCTAAATTCCTCTGAAAGCCCTATAGATTGCAATGTTAAAACTTCATGCGCTTTCTTCTATACAATCCTCACCCCCATCCCCTTTCCCTTCATAGGCAGGGCCAAAAAGGAGAGAAGAAGAAAAGAAAAGAAAACTTGTTGTAAACATATGAACATCCACAGATGTAATGATTAAAATGTTCTACCCAATACAAATATTGGCAACATAAACTTACCACAGTGCTCCCGTTGGCACCATAGGTTAATTGTCTTTGTTCGTTGTACAAAAGATTTAGGACATGTAGCTCATAATCTTTTATGTAAGCAAGCATGGTACCATCTGGGGAAAGATGTGGATCAATTATTGGTGATGATGATGTGCTTCGAAGCTTAAGCACTGGTTCTGAACCAGAAAAATCCTGGAAATAAATCTGCCCACAGGAAAGAGAACAAATATCAGGGAAACAAAATTCCTAATTTGCATGCAGGAGTTGGCTAATATATATATATATATATATATATATATATATATTCAGACAACTGGGACTAGTCAGTAGAAACTAAAGCTAATATTGAAAAGTTGAAAACAGCGCTGAAAGTGTTAAAGAGGTGCTGTGAGTGATAAGATAAGATAAGCAGGCAGGTTGGTGTGGTGAAAACAGTGAATTTGTTGTATCATTATAAACAATGGGTATGAGGAACTGAAGAAAATGATGGAAAGAACCTACTGTGGTGGGACTCTAATGCCAGTGGTAACATCATGTTAACATCAGTAATCCAGCATGTAAAATCGCATATTGGCAAATAGTGGCCAATGAAATATCAAGAAAAAGGATCAACCAACACAACCTCCACCAGTTCAAAGTAATCACACATAGAAGAACACACGTCTTTCACCTCAATCAATATATTATTGCACTTGGAAACAAGCTCTAATGGCCCCAATCCAAAAGAATATCGTAAGGCAGTCAGTTTGTCAGATAAGTAATATTAGCAATAAAGAAAATACACTCTCATTGGATCAAGACTTCAGTAGTATTTTAAGCTTATTTCAGATTACAACAAAATTTATCAACAAAGATAAATAAAAACATGGAAAGTCACAGTGCTTAAGATTTTGGGAAGAAGTCATATGTAGACAACAATAACTCATATAGAACAAGAATGGACTAAATAAGCCTTAAAAGTAAATTCAAAAGTAACAGATGAGATTCTTCCACATACCCCACCAGGTAAAGGCACCATAATAGTTTTCTTCTTGGAGATAGTCTTCACCCATTCATATCGTGTGACTCCCAGACCACGCTCTCTGGACCTCTCCCTCCTCAACTTCTCTTCTGGTGATATATTACTCTCATCAAGTCCACCATCCGGGGGAGAGAAGAATAAATCTTGCTTGCCAGCATTGAGATCAAAAGAATAAACTTTTCTACTCAAATTTTGCTCAGGACTAAAAAGATACACAATCGTACTATCATCTGGACTAAAACTAATAGAAGTAGGTGCTACATAGCCGGGTAATGGTGATTGAACTATCTCTTTAATAGAGAAAACATCATTGCAGTGGTCAGGAGTTAGTGTAGCAGGGCTGTTAGTCGCGGGCATATCGCGAAGAGATGATGACCTTGATCTTTTCAAATTCGTCTTCTTTTCTTTACTTTCGTCAACAGAATGCATTACAAATTGAACTCCTGTTGATTCAAATTAAAAAAGAGTAAGAATCTTTATCCAAAAATAAAAACAAACTATTTAACAAATGAATTGAAAACTTCATCACAAACTCAAAAAGAGTAAAGTTTCTTTTATATTATTCAGTTTTTTTTACTTCAAATTCAACAATTTAGCTAATTGTGTTCAAGTTATGAATCTTTATCCAAAGATAAAACAAACTATTTAACAAATGAATGGAAAATATCATCACAAACTCAAAAGAGTAAAGTTTCTTTTATATTATTCAGTTTTATTTTACTTCAAATTCAACAATTTAGCTAATTGTGCTCAAGTTATGAATCTTTATCCAAAGATAAACAAACTATTTAACAAATCAATTGAAAACATCATCACAAACTCAAAAGTGTAAAGTTTCTTTTATATTATTCAGTTTTATTTTAATTCAAATTCAACAATTAAGCAAATTGTGTTCAAGTTATTCTAAAACCTTCTTTCGATCAGCTAAAAGTTTGCAACTAACACACTGAAAATTGAATTCAGTATTTATCTTTTCCCCTAAGCTAACTCAAATTCAAAGCAGAAAACAGTCACATCTCAAGATTCACTCTTCATTTCCATAGTTTTCTAGGCAACCAAACAGGTTATTTATAAAACAAAAGATTGATTTGAAAAAGAAAAAAAAAAAGAGAGCAATTAAGAAAGTCATTACCTATTAAGAAACTCCAAGAACAGAGCTCTCAGCATCACGATAAATTATCCAGTGGATCCGATCACAGTCTACTGAACTGCACCGAATCCACACTTTATGCCGTGAAAACTAAATCTTCCTTTTTCTTTTTCTTTTTAACTTTTAAGCATAAAACAAAACTCAAATTCAAAAGCAACATGCAAAACAACACAACTTTTTCCCTCTAGAATGAATAAGATTTGAATGTTACCTGCAAAATAAGCGGAATTGATCGGCCATAAAACTTAATTTTACCTAAATTAAAAAAGCAAAATGCTTGAAAGAAGATGAAGAAATCAATGGAGTTGGATTCGGTGGGATTCTTGTTGAGCTTTATAATTGGCAGCGAAAGATTTATTCAAGCGAGAGCATTGTTACTTCGAAAATTGAAATGGGCATTATATGATAAGATGAACGAAAAAGGAAGTCAAGACGGTAATCACTAATCACTATTAATTAAATCTTAAATTAAGGTCTAGGATTGTTGTATTAATCATTCAATTTTGGAAATTTTGTACACTTTTGTTTCTTTAACCACGCGCCCACTCTTGCGCGTTAAGATGTCAGGGACAAAAATTGGATCGGATATTGATTTTTTTTTTAAAAAAAAAATTATTTCCGATATGTGGAAATTATATTTTAGAGGAAAAATTAGATTTACACAATATTTAAAAATTCATCTAAGTATCCGTAATGTGTACTAAAATTAATTTTAATTAAAATTTTTGTTATGACCCCAAAATTAATGTCAAATAGATAAAAAATAAAAAAATATAATAGAAACGGTGATTTTAAACTAACTATAAAAGTTATGAATCCGTTTGGTTTTAGAAAGCATAAGTTATTTTCATTTTTTTAGAAAATGGAAAATATTAGAGAAAACATGTTTGTTGTAAAATTGAAAAATGATTTCTGAAAAATAAAAATAAAAATAAGTGAAAATATGAAAACATAAAAAATATGTTTTCAGTATTTTCATTAAAATCGTTTTGGAAATTTAAAAAATAAGAAAACATGAAATCTAGATTTTTAATTTAACTTACATGTTTTAAATTATTCTAACAATACTATTTTGATTTAGTGGTATTTGAAACTCTCAAATTTTTATAAAAAAAGTAATATGGTCCCTAAACTTTTTTTTTACACTCTATATATTCCTTAAATTATATTTTTAATAATTTAATTTTGTAGTATTGTTATATTTAATGTATTTTGTTATATTTAATGTATTTAATATCTTAATAATTTTTTATATTTTATATTTTAATTTTTTTAAAAAGTAAATCATCAAACTTTCTAAAAAAAATCAATTATACCATCAAACTTAGTAAAAAAATCAATTAAGCCTATCTACCACATCATCATCTATCGTGTAATGTCACAACAATATCGTAAACTGTCACATCAATATTGTAGATTTTCATGTAAGTTTATAAATTGTCATATAAATGTCCTGACAGTCAACGTTTGATTCCGTTCTTAAAGAGTTAGATTAATTGTTTTTAGTGCAAAAAACATTCAAGGACTAAACTAATTATTTTTTCCTCAAAAGTTTAAGAGCCTCAATTACCATTAAACATATTTTTAGTTTAATGAACTTTTGTGTGCACTTGGTTGTAACAATATTTTTGAGTAATTTTAAAATTTAATTGATGTTCAATATTCAATAACATCATATTCTTATTATAAACTAAAACAAATTTTATGTTATGAATTTTCTTATCAATTTTATTGTTTTATATTTGCCTAATTCACATGTTAAACTAATGTAATGAAATTTTTAATAATTATATTTTAATTTAATTTTTTAATAACTATTTATTATTATTATTTTTAAAAATTAGATATAAAATATATTTTTATTATTTATTTTTGGATTCAAGTTTTTGTTTATATTAACCAAACATGTTTTTTAATTTTCAAAAACAGAAAATAAGAATAGAAAATATTTTCTAGAATCAAACGGCTTTTTTGTTCTCAACTTTGCGTTTGAAAACAAATTATAATTTTATCCTTATTAATGCATGGACTTCACTCAATTATGTATTTACATTTTATTTTAATAATTTAATACTAACATCCTTAAAAAATAATTTATTACTTGATAATTTATGTTAATTACTTAAAAGTAAATAAAATTTATGGTTTATATATTAAAATATTAATATTGAGTTATTATAAAATATATTTTTATTATAATTATATTTTTTTAATTTACAGCATAATATTTATAACTTTTCAAACTCACTTTTAACATCAATTTTAAATAATTAAATTTTAAATTGCATTTTTGTACAACACTTTTAAAAGTTACTTTTAAAAAACTATACCAAATTGGTCCTAAATTCTATTACTAAAATTTAAAGTTTATTAATATAAAGGTTATTATCAAATTTTCATTTATAATAAAAAAATATTATATTTAAATAAAGTAGAAGAACCTTAAAATTACCCATTCAAAAATTTTTTTATATGATTATGATATATTAATTAGTCAAATAAAATATCAATAACAATGTCTTGTTATATAATATATTTGTGTATATTATAAGCAAAATATAACGATGAACAGTCAGTGGTGGCCTAATGAGTAAAATTTAAACTGTTGAAGCAACTACAAAGACGAATTACTTCAATGTCCCCGAACATCAAATATAAAGGAGGAAAACTTAGAAAATATTCAAAGTGAACGAATGAAAAACGAATCCCCTCAATTGCAGTCTCATTCAACACATATATTTGAAAATCAACAAAATGTCAAATAAAAATGAACAAAGAAACCATACATAAAAAGAAGCAAGCAACCTAAAAATCTCGTAGAACCACAGATTAAGAAGAAGATCAATAGAAGAAATCTACACCGAAAATCTAAAAATATCGATAGCCATGATATTCTTTATCAAAGAAAAAAATTAAGAGAAAATATTTTCACAAATATAAATAATAGGGGGAGTTCTGCTGTAAGGCGGTTAAAATATTACCAAAATCAGCGTGACTGGTTAAACAAGTGACTGGTTAAGATCGATATCAAAAATGTTATATGATTTAACCGAAAATATTATTTGAGTTGATAATAAAAACGGTAATAACCGGATATGTTATCGTCCTTTGTAAAATGCGGCAAAAAAATTTAAATGATAACATAACCGATTAATTACTGGAAACATTATCAAGTATAATAACATATTAGGTAGTGCTCATATAACGTAATAGGTAGTGCCTTTTTAAAGCTGATGGGGCTTTGGAAATCCGACAATAACAAAATAGATTATTACTTAATTTGTTATTAGTATTATCAACATATTAGGTAACGCCTAAAATGTTACAAAGTTTAAGCTGATGGAGCCTTAGAAATCCGACGATAACATAACTGGTTAATTACTGGAAACATTATCAATCATAATAACATATTAGGTAGCGCTTATGTAACGTAATAGGTAGCGCCTTTTTAAAGCTGACGGAGCTTTGGAAATCCGACGATAACAAAATAGGTTAATTACTTAATTTGTTATTAGTATTATCAACATATTAGGTAACGCCTAAAATGTTACCAAAGTTTAAGCTGATGGAGCCTTAGAAATCCAACGATAACATAACTGGTTAATTACTGGAAACATTATCAACCATAATAACATATTAGGTAGCGCTTATGTAACGTAATAGGTAGCGCATTATTAATGTTGATGAGGCCTTAGAAATCCGATGATAACAAAATAAGTTAATTACTTAATTTGTTATTAGTATTATCAACATATTAGGTAACACCTAAAATGGTAACAAAGTTTAAGCTGATGGAGCCTTAGGAATCCGATGATTACATAACCTATTAATTACTTGATTTGTTATCAAGCTTTATCAACATATTACCATGTACATTGTTTACACATATTATCATGATACCGATTGACTTTAACCATTTTCATTGTAAATTAATCTATTACTTTAAAGTAATAGGTTTCGAAATTATAAGTATGGAATATATATATATATATATATATATATATATGTGTGTGTGTGTGTGTGTGTGTGTGTGTGTGTGTGTGTGTGTGTGTCGATACATTTTACGTCCAGATTGTTTGAGACTTTAATTGGAATTAACTAAAGTTAAAGTTGATGGAGCCTTAGAACCGACGATAACATAACCAGTTAATTACTTGATTTGTTATCAAGCTTTTTCAACATATTACCGTGCACATTTTTTACTCATATTATCATGATACTGATTGACTTTAACCATTTTCATTGTCAATTAACCTATTACTTAAAAGTAATAGGTTTCAGAATTATAAGTATGGAATATATATATATATATATATGTGTGTGCATGTGTGTCAATACATTTTGCGTGCAGATTGTTTGAGCCTTTATGCGAAATTAAAGTATCGAGACCAATATAAAAAAAGTATTGATGCATATATAAAAGTTTACGCTATTATCATTATACCAATATAATGTTAACATGTACCTTGTAAATTTAACTATTACTTCTACAAAGTTCTTTATGTATGGGTTATCAGAATGTTGGATTTACACATAAAGACATTTACAATGCACTTGAAAGAGGTAAAGCAAAGGAAATTGTCGAATGGGGTATCAATGAACTAATTGCTTACTTTTAACCGGTACTTGGAGTATTGATACTTGGACCTTTCCATATGTTCCCTTGTATCGTGTACTTGAACCTTGCCAAACAGTCTGTAGAATAGAATCTCCCGCAAGTCGTGGTTGAAATCAGTTCTGTAATTGGGGTTATCCAGGTTAATCATGTTGTCTGCATAGCCAATAAAACCCCCTTGTATGATACAAATGGTAAGCTAGGAATTGGTAAGACAAGCTTCATCTGAGGGTTTAGGGACTGAACCTCTCCCACGTAAGGAGTGCATGATTGAACATTACATACAATAATTGTATTCAGTTATTGAAGAATTGTTTCATGTTTCGAAACCAATAAGTATCATGCATGCAATACCCTATATCTTCGAGGCAGAGGACAAAAAATCTGACACTTAAAGATTTACTAAGAGCGGTAGCTTCTGCTATGCATGATGACCGAACCTAGAATCAATTTCGCCATTATGTCTATACTGCTCAAGACAACCTACTGAATGAAGGGATTTGCACACAACCGTGAGCATTTTATGGGTTACCCCTGACATCTTTGTTGTAGGATTTTAGCAGAGTAC